GATGAGTTCGGGGGTAGTTTGCGACCGCCGTTGTAACTGCTGCCGCCCGGCCCTCTCTGTTATCGGTGCCATAGGCAAGGTAGCTCTGTGTGTTTCTGAAATGCATCGGCGGTTGCCTATGAGGAATTGCTCTTTAGTGAGGGCAAACAAAAGGCCATTGTTCCTAATCTGTCCTTATAAAGTGCAATAACCCATTCGTTCATAGATGCAGTCTTTCTTAAATGTACCATGAATAGCATTGTGTCTGCAGTGGCTATTGAATTTTTTTTTCCAGGCATGACTTGTTTTCCTAATGCATGCTGGATGAGCAAAGCATAGAATTAATTACTGCTGAATCATAACAGGTTCTTAAACAACAGGCAGCAAGTTGCTTGTGAATGAAGAACTGGCCAAACCTTTGTGACACTGCTTTTATATGCTGATGTTGCCACCTTAAACTGTTGTTCTGGCCGTTTTGGTGTAGACTTATTTGGACTGTCATGAGTCTCAGAGAGCAGAGACTCTCTCAGAGAATCCCATATTTTGCTTTGTCTTGGGTAATGATAAAACATAAACCATATCTTAAATAGGCATATTTATAGTGTTAATATTGTATATAGTATAGTGGTATTATAGTAATATGTATGTACTAGTATAATGTAATGGTACTAAAAATCTAAAAAATATATTTTTGAATGCAGAATGGAGACTGATTGCAATCCTATGGAGATGAGCAATAATATGGTCTTTGAAGAGGATTCTGATTATAGAGACTTTGATGGAGCAGATGTGAAAGATATGAGACTAGAAGCAGAAGCTGTTGTGAATGATGTTCTCTTTGCTGTCCGCAACATGTTTGTCTCAAAAACCCTTCCATGTGCAGAGGATGTGGCATATATCAACGTGGAGACCAGGGAGAGAAACAAATACTGCCTCGAGCTCACAGAAGCAGGACTTAGGGTAAAATGCTTTGCGTAGAGTTTGTAAAGTCTCTTTGTTTTACAATAATCATTGCTCAAAATGTGTTTAGAATAGTATTTGAGTGGCATCTAAAGCAGTCTACCTATTTCTCTTCTATTTTTATGATAACCAGTTCCACATGCATTTGCCTAGAAAGTGCAACTGAAAGTAACTTTAGTGAACTAGTGCAACGTTAAGGTGCAACTTTAACTACCTATTTCAAATGAAGCAAGGAAGAGAGGGCTGGAAAAAACTTTAAGGTACTCACAAGATGATGAAGACTGAAGCTGATAGCAGGCAAATGTGTTGCAGAAAACTTCGGTAATTGGGTTTGTATGTAACAATTGTATGTATGTAACTTTTTTGCAACATTTATATTGTGCAGAAACCTGGATGTTAGATTTCTTTTCAAAGAAAGGTTTTTACTAATATCTGAGTTTGGGACAAAAAAAAAAAAGTATTTTAGACTACCTAAATGTTACGTTAATATCAAATCCCAAGTAGAAAGCACTGATTGCAATTTAAATCAGGTATCTTTGTCCGCACATTACTGTACTATCTGGACTGAAAAAGTTGAACTCTGATTTCTTTGCTCTCCGTGACAAGGTAATGTTAGTCACAAAGATATAACCATTGATTTCTTTGTTACAGGTAGTAGCTTATGCTTTTGATCAGACTGATGACAGTTTGCAAACTCCCTACCATGAAACCGTCTACTCCTTATTGGACTCTCTCAGCCCTGCGTATCGAGAGTTTTTCGGAAATGCATTACTGCAAAGACTAGAAGCTTTGAAGAAGGATAGTCAGTCGTGATTCATCCTGAAGTGAGGAAGTTTTATTAATCCTAAAAGGAATCTTTAGTATAAGGTACTGAAATCTTTCTTACAAACATAGTCACAAACATAGCTTGAGCCTTGTTTCTTGCATTAGTATCTAATTCCTTGTAGCACTGATACGTGACATCTTGCTTCAGTGGGCTTGTTAGCTCAAGAGGCCGAAAAAGTCAATGAATAAATTGTAAAAAGTTTCTTGTTTTCTTTTTGTTATAATTAAACAATTTATGTTCCAAGGCATTCAAAAAAAAAAGTTCTCTTTTCAGCGTTATCTGTGTTTTTGTTATCTAAAATTCCAGAAAATATCTTGGCGAGAACTGTTTAGAGCCTGAATGTTATACATGCAAGTAGTCATCTTTCTTTTTGTGCTTGCTGATTATTTTCAAATCTACTTTTTAAAATAGAAGTTAACTACTTGTTTTAATTAATGGGAACTACTGTTTTGCACAGAATAGAGGTTCAGCTTGTTTTGCTGTGCTTAAATCAGAATTTTTTTTGCTTCAATGAGGAAGATGGCTCTCAAACGCTTGAGCATTGCATATATATAGTGACAGTGAGTTAAAAACAAGTCTTACTTGATCTGTCCTTGTCTGTGACATCTTCAGCAAACTATAATAGTAACGGGATGTACTGTTAATATATGAATGTATTGTCTCAACTGCAAATGAGCTAAGCACAGAAGTAAATTAGGGTGTAAGGGGCTACACTTTTATCAAGATGATACATGTATATGTATACACATGTACGCATGCTATATTGTAGCTGTTGGGAGGCTCCACTCTGGCCTGTTTACTATGCTGAATGTGTTTACCTGATATGCAGGATATACCCTAGAGTATTTTTGCTTCAGCCTTTGCTTTCTATAATACAGTACTTTAGTACCTCTATCAAATCCTCTTTTGATGAATACTGAATAAACACTGTAATATTAATTGCATTGTATTGGTTTGCAACCAAAGGCTGTATATGAAATTTATATGACTTATACCAAACTGGAAGATGTAACTTGTATTTTCTACTTAAAAGTTGGTACTAATATCTTTATAAATCTATTGTTCTTCTTCAGGTTTTCAACTGTGTATTGAATGACAGACATTTTAAAAGTTACAATTGGTTAGGAATATTAGTGCTATTGAAAAAAAAATTTAAAGTTCTGTGATGATCATACATTTTGTATTCTTTTATTACTCAGTATTTGTGCATCTTTATTTTAATAATCCTGCTTTTATTCCCTGCTCTTAGATCTCTGGATATGTGCCTAGAGATGGATTATTAGTTGTTGTAAACTTGCAAATTCCACTGACTTCAGACTATTAGAGCTAATGATTTACATAGATAATTATCCACATTGATTTACAGCAGCTGAGGATTGGTAATATTAATTGGAGAAGTCTATTAGAGTATTTATAATAGATTTTGCATAGTGATATTATATAACTGTGACTGACAAGACAATTTATAGTCAAAACTTCTGTTTTCTAGAGCTTAATTTAATACTTCATTATCTTTTTAGGTTGACATTCCTGGCACTCCTGTCCTAGAGTGTGCTTTCATGCTCTAAAAACTGTTTGTAGGCTCTCTTTTGCACACCGCTCTGTGGCACATGGTTAGTCCTCTGTGAGGAGAATGTACTTTACTGGCTTTATATTTGAATATGTTCCCTTGCAACTATTTATTTGTTAATTTTCAATGACTAAAGCATTAAATAAATGCCACAGTGTGTTGTAGTTTTATTGGGGGGAGAGGACTGGAACAAACCAAGGTCTATGTTTCCATAAACACAGTTTTGATTTGAAAGCATCTTTGGCTGCAAATTCACAATTACTGAAATTGCAGTGCGTGGCGGGGGGAAGAAAAGAACAGAAGAAAAAACAACAGGTATTGTAAAGAAGAAATAGGAGAGGAAATGTTAGATGGGGAAAATAACCAAGGTAAAGATGTCCTGCTAGTGGTTTTTTTTTTTTTTGAGACACTTTTATAATGCTGTGTCATTTCAAGTGCTTGTTATGGACATCTGAGAGAGAATTTCAAAGCATGTGTTTTGTAAGTGTTAGGAGAAACTTCTGTTGTTTGTTTTAATACACTGCACTGCAACTCGCTCAAAAGCAATAAAGCGACGTCATCCCACGATTTCTTATTCTGGGTTTACTAATCTGAAGAAAACACAATTTCTATACATGGAATAGGTGCCTCTATGGAGCTTCTTCAAAGTGCTGACAACAGCCCTATTCTGTAGGTCTCCTTAGGCAGTTATTTGTTTTCATGATCTGAACGGGCAGCCCCACCTCATTCAACTGTGAATCTATAAATTCCACGTTTCCTGTGGGCAAGATTATGCACTACTAGAAAGAAAAATCAAAGCATGGTATCTGACATAGGCTTTTTAACAAGGGCGATGGATTACCTAAAGGGCTGCTTCCCTTCTGAGATGCTCTCTGCCAAGGCTGCTTAGGATGATGCGTTTAGCACTGCCCAGGTGAAGGTAGGCCCAGGTCACCTCTCTGCCTCAAAGTTGGGAACAAAGTTTCCTCCTTTAGGGACGAGCCCTACAGAAAGGGCTCGTAGAAGAAGGAGTGTACTACATGCTTTTTGGTGGTCTGTGCCCTTCCTGAGCCTTGGAAAACTAATCAAAACCACCTTGTTGGCAAAATCTTTGCTTCAGCGAACCCCTCTTCCCCCTCCCCTCCCGCCCCCCCCGTAAGGTCAGTAAGCGAGGAGAGGCGAACCCCATAACTGCAGTAAGGCTCCTCTGCCCTGAGCCCTGAGAGAGGGGCCCGCAGCCCGCGGTTGTGCTGCAGGCCGCAGCTCTCCTGCCTTTGCCTCGAGGAGGGGAGGAGGAGGGGGACGAAGCGGCCCATGGCCAGGGCTGGAGCGCCCGGGTGGAGCTGGGCCTGCGCGGTCGCTTAGCGACGGCGGCGTCCCCGGGCCATGGCGGAGGCGGCGGCGGCGGCTCCCGTGCGCAGCCAGCGCATCTTCCTCAACCACCTGGACTCCTACTGCGGCCGCAGCGTCGGCGAGGTGGCTGCGGTGCCCCCGGCACAACTCGGGGGCCACCGATGAGGGCGGGAGGGCATCGGGGGCCCTGTGGGAGCAGGGAGGCCATGGGGCGCCAGACAGTCCTTGCGGACGAGGCCCTGGCAGCGGCTGGGAGCAGGGATGGCTGCGGCTTTCAGGGCACAAGTCCCTGAAGTCTGGAGGGGCATCCATGCTATCCTGGGACCGGGCCGAGGGAGGCCATGCTCGACTCGGCGTCTCGTGTGTGTTGCAGTATTTGTCCAAGTGTGTTGTTGGGGCCTCGCTGGAGGAAGTCGGAGAGGAGGAGGAAGAGGAGGAAAATGCGTCAGATACTGAAGTTCCTAACTTGAAAGGAGGCCACAAGCCCAAGGAGGGAGTCTACCAAGTGGTGGGAACTCTTTCCAAAGCAGAGGGCAATAAACCATCTTTTGCAGTGGAAACCTATGAAGTGAGTAGTAGTCTTGTTATCTCAGGTCACCATCAGACAAGACCAGAAATACCATGAGTCTTTTAAAATGACCCATGTTAAAGGTCTCTTGTTGCTGCTGGAAGTTTTATGGTCATATTTTATTACCTCTGCTTCCTACGTAGTCATCCACTCCCTGTTGGATCTGATCCAGCAAATGTTACAATTAGGAGACTTACATACATAAAAATTTGACCACTTTGGACAGAACATAGTCTACCCCATGAGCCACAAGCCTGTTATCTTTCTACCTGAAAAAAAAAACACATCAGCATCAGGTATCTCTCACAGCTCTCCTATGTATTTTAGCACCATTTTAAGCATATTGGTGTTTGAACCAAATTCAGGATCTACCCTTTCTAACTATCCACTGAAATCACTACTTTTCACTAATTACTAATTGTTCTAAATTCCTACATCTTTGTGCAAGGTATGTTCAAAGCTCAGCTAACTAGAGGAGGCTCACTTTTAAGAATGTCGTTGCTTAAGGTTTTCTAACAGTAAGAGTGCCTTTAAGTGTCTCACATTGATTGTCTAGAATCTCTTCAAACATTTGAAAGTTCTGACAGGAACGTCCATATAGCTGAACTGTTCAATCAGAAAATTACGGGTAGTGATATTTATTCTTTGTTGCTGCTCTCATGCAAACTGTCTCTTGGAGTGATACATACAGCACGCTATCATTTCTGTTGAATGAGATTATTTTTTATTTTGCAAATAAGCTGACATTTTTCTGACCTTCACTCTTCTGCCAGATGATCAATGTTAAAAATACTGGAAAAAAAAAGATATCTTTTTGATACAATTGCACTGAAGATATAAATCCTAAAATTCCACTTAAAATTTTATGTCTTTTAAAACCACATTAATGTATGTTGTAGATTGGATGTCTCCATATTTAACTTATGCATCATCCTTACTTTTATATGACTGACAAAGTTCGATATCAGTCTTGTAGTCTTATGAATTATTCTAACATCCCCTTCAGAAGTCTATGTGTGGGAAAACTACATTCTATCAGCAAGTTTAATTTAAAAAAAAAAGTTTTGTATCCATTTCCTTTCTTTCTCTTTCTTCCTTTCTTCCTTTCTTTTTCTTTCTTTTCTCCTTTTAATGAAGGTTTCTAACTTTTTTTTTTCCACAGATCTCCTCTCGAGATGAACTTTTGAGTTACTTGCTTGAGTGCGACATCATTTTATATAATATCACTGAGGATGCAAAGCAAATTGAAGAAGCAACATGGGCTGCCTCTGGTTAGTACAGCCATCAGCTGAATGGAAAGTTGGTGCCATACGTATACATATATAAAAGTATATATATATATATATGATAGACTGAATTATACTCTTGTATTCATAGCGTCATAAGTTCTAGGGGAATCAACAAACTATAAACTACATTTAATTATTTTACTCTATCCTAAAATAAGAAGAGTTTTCTACAGTTCTGTGGATTATTCTGTTTCGATAGAGAGAAGGAAATTTTTCTTGCAGTATCTTAGTAGTCAGTAAAAATTAATCGTTTCCTGGTATAGCTGATTTTCTTTTCTTCCTCTCATGTTAATGTAAGTCTTTTTTGACATATTATTATTTGCTTAATTATTACATGTATTTTGTACTAAGCCAAAGAAGGTGTGAAAGTGAATATAGTGTAGAACATTATAACATAGCCACGTATACAGGGCTTTTGTATAAAAGCAAAAAAAGCTGTTTAAGAAATACAGTTTACAATAAGGATATCCCTTTTTATTATTAAACAGCACTACGTACAGAGATGCAGCATTTTGAGACACTGAAGATATTCATTCTCATTTCAACAGTAATGACCTGGGCTAAAAGCAAACCCCTTGACCCAGTAAGCAATAAAAAATCCCCTTCATTTTCACTGAACGCTTTCTATTAAATGTATGCAATTAAACTGTTTCAGTATTCTTCTCAATACTAGTAAATTTGGTTCAGCAAGTCTGTTTTTCTTGTCATCCTTGCACCTGAACCACTGCTTGCTGCCCAAATTGTTAAATTTACTCTACTCCACTAGACAGAGTACTTCAGGCACTGGACTATAAAGAGTGGGGAGACTTATGTGCAAAAATCAGGTGCTGTTTGGCAAGAGGTGACGCCTATGCTAACCAAAATATATGCTGTCTTTCTAACTTAATATATTTTTAGTGAAATACATACTTTAACATGTTTATATGTGAATAAATGCATATATTTGCATATATCGCTGTGGGATTATCATCAAGAATCATGTGGTACATTTTGTAGCATGTTATTATAGTTCCTGAATTTAGTCTTACATAAATTGTGCATGAAAATGTTATCTGCGGCTGGTTTCATGTTTGTATAATGTTTTCATTATATAAATTTTCATGTTTATATGTATGCTATATGTAGTGATAGACTTCCATATATTTTAAAATATAAATGTACATGAAAAGTTTGTAAATATCAAAATATTGATATCTTCAAAATGTCTGAAGTATTAAGAATATCAAATAAAAACACTTCTTTTAAACAATTTTGGCCTTTACAAATGGTGTTTAAGGGGTGTATAACATTCATGTTTTTCCATCGTAGGAGGATTTAGAAATTGTTTTTACTGATGAAGATTATCGCAGAAGAAAATCTCATCCTAACTTTACCGATCACATAAATGCTGAAAAGCTTGTTCTCAAACTTGGAAAAAATGTATGTAAATAATTTGTTTAAGTATAGATTGTTGGGTCTTTTTACTTTGTACATTATCTTAATCACAGAAGTCACCAGTAGTTTTAAAAAAATGAAGCTATGTTATTCTCTTGATAAATGCAAATACCACCTGTTATTAATATCAAGTACAAAGAAGGCAGTAATCTCTTCTGAAATATGTGTCTATATAATACAAATCTCTACCTCCCAAATTCTGTCTTTTTTCCTTAGTTGGTAATTAAACCCACTTGTTTCAGTAGCTGTTTCAGAGAGAATCAAAGTTGGAGCCTTTTTGGGGAAAGGAGGCTCAAGGCTGGAAGAAGGTAAAGGAAAGGTAGATGAAAGAAGGTAGAAGGGATATAATCATAGTTTTACACGAAAGTAGCATCTCTCTTGAAATATTAGCATGTTATGTTGTCTCACTGAAATGCTTAGAAGATGTTTTGGTAAATACTTTAGTAATTTGAACCCCACCTAGCATGTTCCTGGACAGACCAAGCACATGGAGTAAAAAAGCTTGTTGGTTTTAATCCGCTCTTGTGATTCCTTTTAAAATTGTGGACAAAGAGCTGACCCAGAATACCTAGAGCAAATATTATCTCTTTGTATGTGTTTTATATTCATTAGTTTATATGTATTTATATTCATTTCCTTCACCTTCACTTGTCTCTGCCTGATTAGACTACTAATCTTCTTAGAGAACAGATCTCTTTTGGGAGCTGTTATCATATAAATAACAGCGGTGGCTCAGATCTTGCTTCCTGGCTGGAGGAAATTGACACTTGTCTCTAGAATCTGTGGAGGCTGGGAGGGAGAACTGGAAGACAAGAAAGAATCCTGAGTGATGAAGTCATTTGATTACTCTCTTTGTGCTAGCAGTTTTCCATAGTGAGGTGTAGCTGAAAACTGAAAATTAATTAATTCAGCCTCCATAACAGAAATTTATATGACTAATTATGCAGGAAAATAAAAAAAAGAACAATTTTTACCTTGAATTTAATATACAAAATGTTCATTTTTTTACACTCTGCTGAGAAAAGAGCATCAGAAATTGTTTTCTCCTCTTACATGGGTTTAGCAGTACAGAACACCAGCAAAATTCGTATTACAGACTGGAAAAAAAAATAGAGTGGTAAATGACTGCTATGTTTCCTGCACTAACATAAATGCCTAAGATTATGGTATAAATCTTATACGTGTGATATTAGAAACATGAAAATTGCAACAGAACTTGATAATAAGTCCTGCCAGCAACACCACATAGATGAACTATTGGCTCAATTATGTTTGAGTATTCTTATGTGCTGAATCACCACATAACCAAGCTAATAATACAATTAGCTTTTATATGTTTGCAATGCTGCATGTCAGTTTAGATGACAGTGTACCGCTACAGATTGTTCCACTAAGCACTGCCACCTGAATATTTTGAAAATATGCCTCTTGTGGTCCTTCCAGGTAGACCACTTTTTCCTTCAGGGCTTGTATCAATGGGTACCCTGGTCCCTGATTTGTTCCTGGAAGTGCTTTGGAAAAGGAAGTCTCATAAGAAATTGTTTTCAGCAAATCATTGTTACCCTGCTTCATTGCTAATTGAAGATTTCTGGATTACAATAAACAAACAAAAAATCCACACCCACAAAAAACCCTAAACCCAAAACAAAACAAATCAGAACATCCCACTACTGATTATAATGGCTAGAATGTGACATCTAGTGGCTTTAATGAATATTACACAACTTGAAGGTCTTCACCAATGATCTGGATATATGCTGGAAGTTTGTATTTCAGAGAGCTATAGCAGAGGGTGCCAGACCAGTTTGTATTTCACAAATGGCCAGACGAGGTTACTGCAGAGACAGATGCTAGGAAAATCCTGCTCGTTACTTCTTCTTTAGAGGCTAATGGCCTCTCCTGTGCTTTCACAAAAGGAACCCTTTTCCTTCCAGCAGAATATCAGGAACCTTACAGCACACTTCCTTTACGGTTCAGAACAAAACTCGGAGTTGCTCTTTGGGTACAAATAGCTTCTTTCTGCCATAATACTAACCGAGCAATCTAAATCTAGGAACTCTTTTGCCATCTGTGGTCTATTGTGATTTTAATCTGTTTCATATAATTATTACGAAGTTGTTGCATTCAACTGAGTTGAAATACAGTTTTTATTACTAAGTTTAATTTTGTAGATAGATACATAAAAATACAGACCCAGATACAAACACATTGCTGCATATCCCTTCATATGGCATCCCTTCATATGTTGCTTTGCTTCTGTAATGAAAGATTTTGATGATATCAAAAGATATGGGGATTTTTGTTTGTTTGTTTTTTTACCCCTCCACAAAGTGTAGATATCAAATCTGAGCTGGCTATGGTGGTAGATGCAGGTTAATTAGTGTTATCTAGATAAGATAATAAGTAGGATCTTTACAACATTAAAATATTTAATGAATTTGTATGTAATGAATTTGAATTTGTATATTAATTAATATCTCAGTATGGTTGGCCCTAATTTAAAACAACCCCACTTCAAAGTGATTATTCTTTACTGAATCATTATTTCCCACCTCTTCAGAAAGTCATATATAAATATAATGCTAGTAAAGAAAAGCTTCAAGAGTTTTCAGAATTATTTTCCCTGAAACCAGAAGGCTGAAGCACAAGTTATCCTGTTCACTCCTGTCGAATTACGTACCTCCAATTTCTCAACTCTTTTTTTTTTTTAAAGAATCTCAGTTCAAATTTAAACAGATTAGTTCTGATTGCAACTCAATTTTTGAGGAAATGTTAGCAGTATGACATATAACTGAAAGCTATGTTAAAAATTATCTTGCTCCAATCCCTAGTGATATAATCTAAGCACTTCCTCTATAGTACTTGAATACTGAAGTTTCAGGGTAAGGCACAGCCCCACTTACAATACCGTATTTTTATAAGAATGTTCTTGTTGATTTTATTTCACAGAACAAACAAAAATTCACGACTTATGTTGTTGCTTCAGGACTGCAGTATGGAGCTGGTGAAGGAATCTTGCATTACTTTTTCAAGGTAGTCATCCACGAGAATTTTGAAGGTTAATTTAAGTGTAAACTGCAGTGGGATGGAATGCATTTCTAATAGCTTTGATATAATAAACTTAATGCTTCTGTGTACAGAACAGATAATTTGTTCCCTTTGAAATTTGTTCTGGCTACAGTGAAAGTTATTTCCTTTATTTTTTTTCCTGATCTTCTTCTATTTTTCCTACTTTTTGAACAATATCCCAGTATGCCTTGTGTGGTGAGAATATGTCTGCTATGTGAAGAGACTGCAGGAATTGGGGGGGAAAAAAGTCTTTCTTTTCAATATTGTATTCTTTTTTCCAATCTTTTTTTATTTGGAATACAAAGTAACCTTTTCAAGGCCAAGCACACAAATAATCCTTTTTTTTTTTTTTTTTCATCTCTGGTTAAAAATAATCTTTTCCTTCTCATTTCACTCCCCATTTGTATTTTCAGATGGCTTGGCTTAGTGAGGCTCCTACAATACCTGTTTTTGGAAATGGAAACAATTTTATTCCAACTATTCATGTTCTTGATTTAGCAGCGTAAGTAGATAATGAAAAATGCGTGAAAAATGAATGATCCTGAAGAAAATGATCAACTCCTAGCTCAGTAACTAAATGTGCCAGGAGAGTATGGAGACTTTTAGATTTGGGGGTTTTAACAAAACTAGTTGTCTCTTCTGATTGAGTCAAACAGAGATTTTAGCTTCTTTAGTATTAGGTAGGCCTTCTGGAAATTTTATCTAACTCACACCAGTGCCATGCTTTTAAGAAATTATTAGCAATCCTGAAACTAGAACGTAGTATCAGTCAGCTGGCTCAGGGGTGGATCTTGGGCTGTACTGTAGATTAATTAATATTTTCAAGAGACGTGACCTTTTGTTCTTGGGATATTCGGCCACATAGATTATCTAGTTTTGCTTTTTATGAGGGACAATATATACAAAATTGTCCTGTTCTCCAAGACTCTGTGTATCCTTTGTCTTTGAACTGTTCCTAAAATGTTTTTAATGATGAAAGCCAAGTCTGCAAATCTGTTTCCATAACTATTATTACTTTAACTGTACTTGCCATATTTTAGGATATTACAAAATATAGCAGACCATAAGCCTAAGACTCACTACATAGTTGCAGTAGATGAATCTATGCATACTCTTAAAGAATTAATAAAGGTAAGAAAATTAATTCTTTTATCAGATATTTGTAAGGTTTTGAAAGCTTTAAATTTCACTGAAGTAGATGTCTCTGGGTCTTCCTGAATTATCTTCTATAACAAATGATATAAAAATTACCTTGCAATTCTGTAAGACTCTTCTGTCCTTTAAACAAAATGCATTACCAAGTCCAGCTGGTTCTGCAAAGCTGACATTGGCAAAAGTCAGCAACTGCAGTAGAAGAGTTACCTAAGAAAGCTGTGCTGAATTAGGTATTGATCTGAATTTTGCAGTTCTGCCATTAGATGATTATTTAAAATGCTTTTCCCTTGATTTAGTAGGAAGATGTTGAGATTATTTCTCAGCTTTATTACAAGATGCTTGGAAAAGCGAAACATCTTGCAATTTGCTAAGTGAACATAAGGCAATTAGTCAAATTCATTTGAAGGAAATAAAGGTCAAAGCATTCAGTGGTTGTGGTCAATTATAAGAACACACACACACACAAATGTATCTGTTGCATAAAAATGAGCATAAAGAGGTTAAAAGTATTACATCCTTAGAAAAGGATTCATTGAAAATTTGCGTGAAAGTGTACGGACATGGCATGCTACTCCTAACGAAAAGCCTGAGAAAGTAAAAATTGCCATGGTTCAATTGTAGACTGAATGAAAGAAGGTGGCAGCCTTTTAAATTTGTTGTTATGTACTGATAAAGAAAATATGGCAGAATATGTGTAGGAACCACCATAAAGCAGGAAAAAAAAAGATGAAGATGAACTGTTAAAATAAAAAAAAAATCAAAATGAATAGTCTGTCTTCAAACACTTAAGGAACAAAAAGGCTGCCAGTAAATCTATTTGGCCAATAGATGGTTATAGTATAAAAGCAGCACTCAAAGAAGACAAGAAGTAGAGATACTTTGTATTAGTGTGTGTGGATAATGCTTTGGAAACATCTTAATATTTCAGGATCTGTTTGTGGATGACTCATTAAATCAGTATAAAACTGTATAAATCTGTAACAAAAGACTATAAAAAGGTTATAGAATAAATTTAAAAAATGAATACTAACAAATCACTAGAATCTCATGGTATTCATCAAAGAGTTGAGAAATAACTCAAGAATAAAATAATTTAGTTGACAGTTCACATGTACAAGCTCCTGCTTAGCATTGTCCTGGCACTTGAAGACTGCTGCATGATAAAAGCAATGCTAATATAAAAAGAAAGGTTTGGGGAATTGCAGGTCAGTATGCATAATACCATTGGCCAATAACAAGGTATGTTATTAGAAGCTAATAAATAAATGTGTTAAAGGATAGATATGATCTATCTGGGAAGAGTCAATGTGGCTTTTGTTGAAGAAAAACCATCTTTGGAAACCTACGGAAACTCTTTGACCTGACCAGCAAATATGGGCATTGCCAGTAGAGAGTTCATCAGCAAACAACCTTAATGGGACCTATCCCGGCCCAGGGGAAGACTGAGGAAGGACACAGTAGAGAAATTTCATTAAAGTTACTAAATACATAGAAGCCATTTCTAATTTAGGAATTTTCTGAGATGAAAAATGGCTAAAGGCTAGGAGAGTATTAGAAGGAGGTATCATGTGTATTTTTTTTGTGTTCTTACTTTTATTTAAGCATCCACTAATGACCACTACTGAAGACAGAACACTGGAATATATATAGATTTGATGAGGTCCCATAAAGCCGTTCTTACATTTTTATGAAATCAAGTCTTTTTTGTTAGGTTTTGTTTTGTTTTAAGCTATTGTTAAAAGGCTGTAAGAATAACTAACAACAACTTATCTATCTGCAGATGCAAGGATGCAAATTAATATGGAGAGCTATTAGTATTGTTCTTTCCTGATTCTCCACAGAACTAAACATTTTAAGAATCTGAAATGGAAGTCCTGGGAAATAAAATACGATTAGATCTTAGCAGTAGGAAGTCATACAAAGATATAAGACCTTTGGAACACGGCGGGTTTTTAGTACAGAGGGACCAATATACAGCAAAAGAGAGAGAGATATTTAAAACTAATATTAAAGTTAACATCATAATGTTGTTATTTCAAATCAGTATACTGATTTTCCATGTGTAAAATAAAGTCTAAAAGCCAATATTATCCTCAGAAATCCTGTTTACTCTTTTCAAAGAATCTGAATTCACATATGTATTATACTTTTTTTTTCTAGTGTATCAGCAGAAATCTTGGACCTGGAAAAATTGAGATGATTCCAAGAGAAAATGCGTTCCTGATCAGAGAGTTAACAGTTTGTATTTCTTTTATTACTTAAGAAAGGGATATAAACATAAAGTATAGCATTATGAAAGTATTATTTGCTTATTTATTTCATTACAAAACTATAACCCTAAAACATGACTAAAAAAAGAATTTTAAATTTACAAAATAAATAAACTGAAAGTTTAACCAACCTAAAACATAATTCTGTGGAGTTACAGCATGATTTTGAAAAGCAGAGAAACACTGATGTCAATGCTGCATTAAGCATATAGGAACACTTACAAAACCAACACAAAATCATAAAAACTAAGAAAATGTCAATAATGAGGTTCTACTAAAGCTGATGAACACAGCACATGTCAATTATGTTATATTCCTGTATTTAGCTGAAATAAATTGTACAGGAGCAACAGGAGGGACAAACAAACAAACAAAGAAACCCCAACTCCTCCAACAAAAAAGAAAGCCCCAATCGTTTTAAGATGACATTTGATAGATTTATGAAAAAGATTATTTCCTGTAATCACATGGAGTCTCTGTATAGTGCAAAATAATTGTGTCGTACTATCCCAGCAGTTGATGAGAATACTTAAATATAAACTCATATTGAAAGCTCTTTAAATTAAAATTAAAAAAAAAAAAACTTAATTTCATCCCAGTCTTTAGTTTAAGATAATCAACATTGCACTTTGAACGTATATAGCTAAGGTCTGTAAAACAAAATGTGCTTTTGCTTCCTCAGCAATCACATTTGGATATGTTGTTTGTGAACCTACGAATGGAGGCTATTTTTCTGAAAGACAATTTCAACATTAAGTGGGTTGCTCAGACAGGACTGGTGGAGAACATTGAAGAAATCATCAAAGAATACAAGGAAAGTCGAGGATTGCTGGTAATGCTTTGAGATATACTATTTTTAAAGTGTTCCCTTTTCAAATAGAAGTGATTATATAAACACTTATTTCTATTTCTTTAAGAGAAAACACTTGGAATACTGATAGAGAAGCAAAGTAAGTGGACATATAAACTGGAAATTAAATTGAAATTTGTAGAGAGTACTAGTTAACCGTAAAATCAGCTACAGTTTTCTTTCTGTTTGGCCAAAAAGTGAAACCCTGTAAGTGAAAATAAGCTTCCTGATGGAGAAGCTGCTACTCTAGAACTAGCTGCTTTATGCAATATATATGACATGCCTGGTATACCTTGTTTTAAAAATGCAATAAGTACATGTTTTTTATTATTTAGGCTTATATATTTATTTTAACAAGAGATTTGGTAGTTAAGAGAGTATTTTGTTCCCCCTTGTTATGCCTAGTGAATGAAAATATCCAACTGCCATATAACTGTCACTTTAGCTCCCTCCGTTTTGTAATTTGCTGAACATTTTTGCTGTTTTCTGTTATCTGAAAGAATTTCCATCTGTGTAGAAGTAGTTATGTGAAGGCACAGAAAAATGCTAGTAGTCACATACCTATTGTTTGTCTTCAGTGTGATAAAGCCGTCTAAATACTACTACGATTTTATGGGGTTCAGGAGATGTAAAACAAAACACACTTATATTGTTGGTGAAAGTAGTTCATTGAAAGTACTAGCATACATCAGAAAAGATTTTCAGGTCTAAGACTGGGTTAAACTGCTGTATCTGTGTGTGCATGTGCGTATGTGTGTAATTCAAAAATATCCAACACAAAATATACGCATCCCGAGTACGAGACAGAAAAACAGCTAGACCCCTCTTTCCTAGACCACTGCTCTGTCAAAATTTCAGGAGTTTGCACTTCCTGAATTAGGACTGCAAGTTTATCATGTATGGTTTTGAGTTGCTGTATTCTGTTTGCTAAATGTATACGTAGTGGTTAAAGTTATTCACCTTTTATCAGGATAGCAGGCTGAATCTTTGTTAACTATTTACTTTGTAAAATTTTTAAAGTTAAAACAACCACCGTGATGACTGCAACTCTACCTGAGTTGGGAAATGCAGTCATTGCATTTGGATAGTAAAATATCTACCACTTCATTCCAAAATTCACTGCATCCTACATAACTGTGTTATTTGATTAAATAACTGTGTTACCAAATAACAGTTATTTATTCCAAAGTCAGTGGAAGATATAGGAGATATTTAAGGAGATGATAAATACTTAGTGTAAAATAAACTAAAATGTATTTCAACTTTAATTATTTAAGAATAATTATTAAAGGTAATTATATGAAAAAAGTTCTTTTTAAATAAAACCATCAATCTTGTTTGAACAATGTAACATTTTTATCTTTCTTTTTCAGCCTCTCAAAATTTATGTTCATGGTCCTCCTGGAGTCGGAAAATCCAGCATTGCTGAAAATCTCTGCAGGCACTACAAGCTACATCACATTAAAATAAAAGATGTGATTTCTGAAACAATAGCAAATCTGGTGTGTTGATAACTGATTTCAGTATTGTTGTTATTTTATTGTTTTTATTTTTTTTCTGATGTAAAAAAAAACTAAATAGTTTTTTTAGTAATCTACTTCAGAATAGAAAGGACTTTTTGACATTTTATCACCTTTGGGGGATTCACAGGTCTTTTTGGTGACTGCAGGTTGCTCATTACCTTATTGTACAGAAACATATTTGAAAGTAAGATGTTGAATGGAGTGGGATTTTTCTGGGGGCAGGTAGGAGGGAGAAGGAGGAGAGGAGTCATCCTTTTATTATATCTGTGTATAAAAAGAAATCTAGCATAGTATTTCTGAGTCTGTTGATATTGTTGTCTTTAGGAGAAAATCGTGGCTCCAAAAGAAGTGGAAGCAGATGATATAGAAGAGGGAGAAGATGATGAAGATGAGAGTGAAAATATAGAGGAAGCACGAGAGTTATTAGATGAAATCAAAAAAAGCATGGAGCAAAATGGAAGTAGGAAACACCAAGTGATAAAATGGGATTTAGGTAACTAGTGCAACCCTATACAAATAGCAAATAATGCAACGAATTTGTCCTTTGGATCTTGTAGATACTTTTAAAAATAAGAATTATGCCTTGTCACTTTGTATTTAAATGTAATTAAAAAAAAAACAAATGCAATTGTGAAATTACACAATTAGATTGAAATATGTGTGGCTGTACCTGTAAAAGAAATATTTTAATTCAGCTACTAAAAGCTACATATTTACTGTGGTGATTTTTAATGGTAAATGTTTCATTTGTCTATTTGTAAAGTCTAAATATTGAAAAAGTGCCATAAGGTTGCCATTACTCAAAAGTACTAGTTATCGTCCATGTATGAACCAAAGTCAACAGGTTTTTAACTTAGTCTTAACATTTTAATTGAGGGATACCCCCTCTGCCCAGATACTTCTTAAAATGCATTCTATCACTACAGTTTTACCTGATCAGAATCAGATATATCTGCAAAAGTGTAGCTGTAGCTCATCCAAAGATTTCAGGAATGAGATCTATGACAACATCTCTTTTGCATGTCTTGCTTTATTGTTTAAAATACTGATGTCTTTTAAAATTGTGAAATGGTTGGATGATCACATTTTTTATAAATATTTATTAAGACTTTAAAAGCTGAAGAATAATAAAGTAGGAAATTGTAGTCAGTGGTTACCAGAGGAGGAAATCAGGGCAAAACAAGCTTTTTTTGGTCACACATTTGCTCAACAATGTACGACAGATTAATAGACCACCTCTTACCTTGGTCTGAAAGTGAAACCCATAGTTCCCATTTCACATTTGTATGGCAAGGCTATTTTTAAGTCTTATTGCTTATGGTAGATATAGAATTTTCCTTTGTCACGTGTTTTGTCACATTTATATATATGTATAAAGCATTTGCTTCTTTCCTATTTCTGTTAAAATCTGAAAAAAAATAAAAATGCTTGGGACCCTATAGCATTATTCTACATACTCACTTCGCCTTTTAGTATCGAGTTCTAATGTTTATAGCTTTCTAAACTCTAATAAATTTATTTAATTGCTACACATTACATAGATTTCTAGCAACATGAAAAACAGTTATTCAAACTGTATAATTATTTTTAGAGTCTAAATAAAAACTTCTTGGATAAATTAATGAAAATGTTAATGACATAATTTCAGATATCTCTATTCTATAAACCTATTAACTGTCTTTGTCTTTTAGATCAAATACAAGGCCAATACATTATTAAATTCACAAAAGATAAGCTTAAAACTATGCCTTGTAGGAATCAGGGGTATGTTTTGGATGGATTCCCAGAAACCTACGATCAGGCAAAAGAACTTTTTAATTGTAAGTACGGCTGGTCTTGTTTTTACTACTGTTAATGTTGTTATTATCATTATATTTCTCGTTGCCATATTCGTTGTGTATGAACACTGCAATGATTGCTGTGCAGGACACACTAAATTCTCGTTCTCACAGGCCACTCAAAATTTCAAAAGGATTGCAACCAGTTTTTCTGTTTTTTCATTTAAGAAATATATTTTTCAGGCTATCTTTGCTGGCATAGTAATAAGCAAATGTATGGATATGGAAGACACTGTATTCTTTTGTGCTGGACTGCTTCACCTAAGCATGCTTCTAAGGCAGATTGTGTTCATAATATTCAAGGACTGGTTAACAAGGGGTCTGAGGCAATAGCCAATCCACAGTCTATGTGGGTATGTCCGTGTGGGTGTCTATGTGAGCATCTTGGCTTCAGAGGACAGGAGTTCAGTGGAGCACTGCAACATACAGTCAGTACATTCATCTTCACACTCTGAGCAAGCACTGCCTGTCTATGCGTTAGGCCCAAGTGTCATCTCCCTGTGTAAATAACAGGGTGAGCTGATAAAGAAACAAACATCCCTCCCGATTATCTTAGTAAGGCACATTGTAAACTACCATGTTCAGCTGATGCTCATCAGGTAGCTGTTGGTTGACACTCAGCTGGAGAAGAGCTGATCACTTGGAGACAGAAATCATTTAACTATATTTCTGTAAGGTGTGTTCAGAACCCTGATTCACTCTTTAAGAAAAATATCCAGGAAGGGGGATCAGGGTCAGGACAGTGGTATGGACCCATTTTTAAATTGCATATGTATTTGTATACTTCTGTAGAGGTAAATAACTATTAGTGTCCCATAGGAGAATTTTGTGGTGACTGGCAATGTTAATGACCTCTCTAAGGCAGGGTCTAGCTTTGTTACCAAAACATTAGTAAAATTTGCACAGATACAAAATTATGTTCATACTAGGTACCTTTTTAGCAAATGCAATGATATTGTTGATTAAAATGACAATGTCGGTTTGTTCTTACTTTTGTTTTAGTGGAAGATGAAGACGAGGAAGAAGAAATTAAAGGCAAAATGTACAAATATGATAAGTTAATCACACCTGGTAAGTTTGATGTTTTTATAAACAGAGAAGACTTCAGAGTATTGCTACTCCTGATAAGAAGTATGAAATGCCACTGTTCACATTTTAATTAACATAAAGGAAATATCTAATTCATGTTATGCTGCTGCCCGTTTATTTAGAAGTGAACAGTTAGTCAAAAGGAGGACTTGGGGTTGTTTTTTTTCCCCCTTTTTTTTTTTTTTTTTTTTTTTGTTATTTTTCCACATCAAATGCTGGCTTGTAACAAAATCAGTGCTGCCTTTTTTTGTGATTACTGCAGCTATTAATGGAATAAACATGAGTGCCTAAACTTGGCATATTAAAAAGACATGTTTATCATTAGCCCTTTGTAGAGTTCCTTGTACTGCTTGCTGTGATATCTTGAAAGATGTCTTTTTTTTTTTTTTTTTTTTTTTTTGAGGGGAGGGGGTAGTCAGTTTAGGGGGACAAACGCTGTCTCTGACCAAGTCTGTAAGTTTCCCATGGATGTCAGAAGAATGATTTCCTGGGTTTTTTTCCACAATTAAATAAAAAGATGTCAGTATTATTATATTCACTAGTATATTAGACAGAAATACATGGAAGATATTGTTACAAAAATATATGAATTACTATTTCACAAAGCACAAATTCTTTTGATTTCCAAACTGATAAAACAGAGCAAGATTAAGCATAATGAAACTGTAAATATAAGAAGACTTCTAAAGTATAGTAGGGAGATAAAAAATTTTGTGTATCCTTGGAAGCTTTCTGTTGTTCCTACTACAGGAATGTTCCTTCATACTACAAGTATGTTCCTTCATACTACAAATACTACTCCATACTACAGTATGTTACATCATACTACAAATATAACTGATGCCAAGCTTTATGGTATGTGGCATAGGGTGCTTAAGTCACGCTATCGACAATTGAATTTATTTGAATTTACTTTAATTCAACAGAGATACCTTTGTTTATGAGATTAAAAATCACAGTACAGTGTAATCCAATTTTTGATAAACAAGTTGTTAATTTTCCAGTGTCACTTGCTGCTTTGGCTGCACTAAAGAAGTGCTAGCACCACTGCTGCTATGAAAGAATTTGGTGAAATTGGGACCTGCAGCTCCTTTTCAAACAGATCTTGCCTTAGTAAATACTGACAGAAATGTGGAAATGGAGAATATAAGACATTTCATAATTAACTTCTGCATAAAGATATATGCAATTTACATCTACTTATGTTAATGGCATTTACATAATAAAGGGGAAAAATAATACATGCCACAGAAATTTGTTCTCAGAAAAATATATTCTTCTTCACAGAATTTGTTATTTCTTTGGCTGCAACTGATGAATTCCTTAAAAACAGAATAATAAATCTCCCAGAGAGTGTTGTTGCTGGAACTCATTACACTCAGAACAAGTTCCTGGATTCTCTTCGTTTTTTCAGAGACTATAACACAGAAGATGAGAGTGTTCTCAACTATTTTGATGAACTTGAAATACATCCTCAGATTATTGGTATGAAATAATTAAAAATTACATACACTCCTTAAAAACAATAGAGTTAATGTACATGTACATATTTAATAAATATACAATATGCATTTAAGAAAATCTGCAGAAATACTTGTGTGCTTTAGGAATTTTGAGTCATTCTCTTTCGTTCAAACTGTTTTTAAAATTTGCATTTTAATTGTAGGCTAAATAACCAAAATAATTTCCTGACAAGTTGCAGAGTTCTACACTGACATCCTCCTGTATTGATGTGATAATATATTTCATAGTATTTCAATGTTGAAATCACTTATATTTTTTTAAGTTATCCTCAGATGCCATCACCTTATAGGCTAATTTGTAATAGAAGAAAGAGGCTTAGTGCAGAAGTTTTCTACCTCATCTGTTTTGTACTATACTTGGCTGTAGAAACAGATAAGGTGACAGCACTCTAGAGAAAATTTGAGAGGCATTAATAAAAATAAAATAAAATAAAAAGAGAGAGAGAGAGAATGGGGGAAAACCCTGGACCTAGAATCAAACTCCAGGTACTAAGAACGTCCCTATTTGAGACGGGTTATGAGAAAATAATTATGGAACAGCCTTAATGATAATTGAATTCCTCATTTTTTAAAGTAACATCAGTCATTATATGAAATTTTTTGAGAGTAATACCATACTTGTATTGTTAAGAAAGTATACATATAGACAAAAATGGTGTGATAACGTGATGATTTTAGATTTAGAATTTTTGCTAAATTACTCTTCTGCCTTTCCGCTTCCAAATATCTAGGTGCATATTAAACCTCTGCCAAGGGATTTTTATATTTTATCCTCATTCTCTCATGCAGTTTACCGCTAAAATCTATTTTACCATCCTACCATATTTTACCATCAATTTATAGAAGGGAGTAGATGATAAGATGTAAGTATTTGTTTGTCTCTGCTCTCTTCAGCTGACGCTATTGATTTTTCATATCAGATTTAAACAGAGAGTTGACTGTTTTCTTAGTCATGTTCTGAAGGAAGTTGGCTGTTTTCACTGACTTCAGTGTAGATTGGTTGAAGAAATGCACTTGATTCTTTAAATATAGTTTTGAATTAATCAAAACTTACTTCCATTTTAATTTTAGAAATTTGTAACTTATAGTCATATGAGTTGATTTTATTACTTCTTCTGAGTCTGAAATACAATTAGTATAAAGGAGTGGAGCTTCAAGATTCTGGAAACCCTTGTTTTCTGTAGTGACTCACAACATGAATTCTTTTAAGTCAGCTATCTCTGTCCTTTTTTTTTTTTTCTCATCTGCAAAATGAGAATGGTGAGACAAGTATGTTAAATTATCTACAAAAAGGCATGTTAAAACTATAACAGTAATTTGCTTTGAAATATTAATTTATGAACTCCATTTTGGTGCTGCTTCTTCTTGACGAGGGTCAATATTAACTGTATTATTATTTAAAGACCTGTGTCTATAGGTATCCAATTAATTAGGATTACTGGAGCATTTTTTCATAGAAATGTTGCTTGGCTATTTGAGAAAAGACTGCCATATTCAAGAACTCACACTCAATGCAGAGTTCTAAGTACTTTACATGATTTAAAAATAGTAATATAAAGTAATGCTAGGAATTCTTTTGCATTAGTTTGCAATGTAAAGAGTTTGCAAAGTAATTCATATATCCAGGTGCAGCTAAAATTACAGAAATAATGATCAGCTTAACTGAAAAGCTGAAAAAATGGAATACTTCAAGAATGTAATTCCTGATTTTTTTTTTTTTTTTGAAAGAAGAAACTGATAACATAACTGCTTGCTAAAGTTTCTTTATCTTCCTACCTTGGATATTAGCAGATTTTTAGACCTCAAGTCCAAATTATAACTGCATTATCTATTGGAACAATGGTTTTAGTAATGGACTCCTGCCTTCTGTCAGAACTAGTGCTTAGAAAGTCATGAGAGGCAGCCTTGGTCAACAGCTCTCAAAATAACTTCATAAAACAGAGGAATGTATATTAAGGACTACTGGATTTTAATCTAAATTCTGTATTTTTTTTTTTTGCTTTTTCCTCTTTCTCTGCTTTCTGTCCTTAGCCATTTCTGTGCCTTTATACTTGCTGTCCCCTACTACCTTTACCTCTGTATTTTTAATCTTTGCAGGCCTTAATTTCTCCCTTTTCTTCCTTTCCATGTACTTATCTATACCCTTTCTGCCAGATGCGTCCACACTGAATACATACAGAGCCCAGAGAGCCCTGCCGACAGTCTCCATTTTTTCTGAGTGTTTTTGCAAGTCTGGTGCCCAAATAGCCTCCAAAAGTTAAAAGCAAGAATGAATGAAATGAAAGAGATCTTGCTCAACCCCTATGCCCCTGAATAAAACTATTGATTGGCTTTGTAGTTATAGTAAGATTTTAACTAGATATAGGTCTATGTTCAAAAACAGTCTATGAATGAATTTTGGGGAGTTTGTTGTCCAGTTCTATCAATGTATTGTGTAAAATAGATTTACACAAATGTATTTTGCAAATATGTAAAGCATATTTACAAAACATTTTGTAAATACGTATGGCAAAGTGTATGGGATTCAGAAGTTTACAGTTCCATAAATTTGCATGACCTGACATAAGCTTGGCTGAAGGAACATCTCAGATGCTTTAATGACTTGATTTTCAAGTTTCAAAGCATAGTCAAGCTACAACTGCTGAGCAAAACATTATTAAAAAAAAAATCTCTGTATCATCATCTTGGAAGACAAACTATTTTAGCTGAAATTGTTAAAGGAACTCAGGTATAGAAAATTTAATTTATACAGCAAAATGTTGACTGTTATAGACACCTGAAAATAATGCCTTATAGTGGAAAATTCAAACAACACAGTCACCATATATTACAGTTGTTCACTAATGATCACTGATGATTGATAAAAGCCCTGAAAATTTTCTCTCCTGTATTGTTTAAAAGATGTAGTCAAATTGGAAGATCCTGAGAACAGACTTATTATAAAAGAGATCATCAAAGAAATTGGGGAACCTCGGAACTATGGTTTGACAGCTGAAGAAAAGGAAAACTTAGAACGCAAAGCGGCTGAGGAACGCCTTGCCAAAGAAGCTAAAGAAGCAGCTGAGCAAGAACGTAAAGAAGCTGAGGAAAGAGCAGAAAGGAAGGAAAAATGGGTAGAGTGGGTAGGTTAACATATATTTCTGGGAAACCATTTGTGTGATTTAAAAAGTAGAAACAAAGGGGCTTCGTGCAATCTGTTATGCTTGAAAATATGGTATATGTGCTTGAACTTGTAAAGTATGACACGTGTATAGTTCATTCTATCATACTTTGCTATTGAAGATGCCTTTCAAGCAAGACTTTTAACTCTACATAGTCTGATCAATATTCCAGTTTGCAGTGGAGCTCTCTGCAATACCAACATGCCAGAGAAGCACCATTAAGAGCTAAGTGGTGTTTTAGTGAGGAATACCTGATATGGTCTGAAGGATGCTTTTTGTTTGCTAAGTTTAATAAGTACTTAGTATTAAGGGTACCTTACTGTAAAGGGCTTGCACCTGATGCCTTTTTTTTTCCTTCTCTCCCTCTCTCCTCACTCTATTTTGTGTAAATAAACTGAAACCCACATTACTATATTTTTTTTACCCTCACCTAAAGTCAGGCTGCTTCACCAGAAGGCAGCTCTTCTATTGTCTCTGTAGAGATATTTAAAACAAACTGATTATTCTGAGGAGGAATTCTTTTCTTACATTTGAATGTACATGCATATCTATGGGGAAATAATAGGTTGAAATTGCTCGCTTTTAAACAAGCTTTTATGTTGCTCTGATGTTGGCATGTAAATAAGTGTCAGGATTTCTTCCTCATCTCTATGCTTATTTTCAGCTTCATTCAAGATTAAATAGCATTTTGTGCTCTCCAGAAGATTGTCTGAAAGGTTAGCAAGAATAGTTAACACATTTTTATCTACATCCAATTCAAAGCCACCTAACTTTAAGAAAAGCAAACTACACGTTATTTGAATCTTAAAAAAAAAAAAGGTATTTAAATAAAATGTGTGTTTAAAGAGGCAGGTACTCAGGAAATCTAAGCAACGATTCATTTACCTTTGTAGATTAGCTACAATCTCTGGATAGAGGGACCAGCTGATTTATTCAATATTGCTCCTAGATTGAATGAATCGGGTAATTCAGTTTTATTAGAACATGGCTTTTGTGTCATGCTTGAGTACAGAAGAGCTATTTCTCTAGTTTTCTTCAGTCTCTTCTGCTTGCTGTATCTATCTATGTCTTGTGCTACTATTGAACACAATGAGAGAGGACAATAAATGTTTGAGTAGTCTTCTGGCTAAAACTATTGCAAGTACAGATGCTATTAACTGCTATTAAATAATTTAAAAAAAGGCTAACTCAAGTTTTTTGGTAAGTTTTTTATTCATTTTACTTTGAGTGTAATCATTTTATTGGATTTGACTGGAATACAAGAATAATTTTAGCTGATATAAAGGGATATAATCCACTGGCATTTTAGCACATTGAGTTCTCTTCCCAGAGAACGGTTTAAAAAGAGAGAGAGAAAGACTTTGAGACATTTTGCAGTTACTAGTTACTTAGAGAGTCAAAGCTCTTCACAGAATTTAAACACTCTTCTGCCTCCAGTTGAAAAATCCTTCAATAAATTATTTGCAATTGTAATAGCAGTGATTTTTGAGGTGACACGTGTTAGTGTTTTCCAGTCACTTTGACAAATATCTTATAGAAATAGATGTATGTAGAACAGAATATATTTCCCATTAGGTATAAAAGAGGAGACAAAATAATTTTACTAGGTACATTATTTTAGTTTTCACCATCCTTGGTTCACTTTCCTTAGCAAACACTATGCTCTAAACTTAATAAAAAGTTCCTAATAGCGCTATTAAGTGTGTGTTTAAAAAAAAAAAAAAAGTCCATGGTTTCTGACTCCTAATATTTCTTGAGGCCACCACTATTATTTAGTCTAGTGCTATTTGGTAAAAGTTACTCATTTTATTCTTTGGTTCATTATTTATAGAACAAACGTCTGGCAGAAGTGAAGAGACAAGAAGAAGAGTTACTGGAGGCCCAATCTATTCCATTACGAAACTACTTAATGAAGCACGTCATGCCAACACTTATGCAAGGGCTAAATGAATGCTGTAAGATCAGGCCAGATGATCCAGTTGATTTCCTGGTAAGGTGGTTATCTGTGTGTGTGTGTGTGTGTCTGTTTGTTTGTTTGTTGTTGATTTTTCCTTAAATATATTTTTAAAAGCTCAATCAAAATATTCATTTAGTCCCAAAGAATCTCTCACAACATATGGACTTTAATTCTTTTTCCCATTTTTGTAATTACAATTCATCAATGGTTAGTCCTTGCAGTTCAGGAGAGCAATAATTGCTGCTAAACTTAAGGAATACTGTGACTACTCCTTAATGGCGTGGTTGACACTTCATAGCAACTAAAGATACCTAGTTTTGCTATGCAATAGCAGAAGAATCACTATTAGAATTGACTGTGGCATGTGAGGTCTCTCCCTGCCTTTCTGTATACCTTGCAGTGATGTAGGGGACCACAGAAATGTGGTGAATGTTAAATACCTGACAATGTAGGAGGATGAGATCTTCCCTATTGCAAGAACTATCTTATCTACTGTTATCTACTTCTTTGGGTGCAGTAGTCAGGCTCTAGGTTACTCTGTTACTCCCACCCAGGACTTTCCATGGAGGGCAAATGCTGTGTTAATAGCCCGTGAGAGATGTGCTTGCTGCTACTAGCCTGGAAAATGTGCTGGGTGGTAGTTGTGAGGAAAAGGTTTCACTAACATCTCTGCCAGAGACCACATCCTAGAGCCAGTTAATACTTTCTGAGATTTTTTTTGTGTGTAAAGCAACTGTTTTTGTTAGTTTGTGTATTTTTTTTTTAATTCGGGCACTTGATCATGTATTTGTAACTTTGAAAATCTTCTGTTTATAGGCAGAATATCTCTTCAAGAACAATCCTGAAATTGAGGGAGATAAACCTTAAATCCTGACAGCTGTAGATACTGTGAAATAGACAGAGCACTTCTAATGCATTTTACCATATACTCAGTTTCTGAAATGGTTTTTGTTTAGGCTTGTTATATAACCTTAGTGTTTACTTCCCATACTGTATTATTAATTGTACTGTTATTCGTATACTGTAGTATTCATTCTTTAATGTATCTTCTAACAGAACAATGTTTATTAGATATCATTTGTGCCTCCATATTTTTTATTTGAAACTGTGATCCATACAATCTTGAATGAGAAGATTCAAGACCTCTGAGAAAAGATATATATTCCGAAAACAACAACAGTAAAGTTTGTTTTAACTGAAAATGAAAATATATAGAAAAAGCAAGGTCTCTTACTTTGCTCATTAAAAAAAAAAAAGAGGCTTAGAGGCTTACATCACCCAGAACCTGTTCACTCCTCCAGCTGTTTTAAGAAAAATAACCAAATGAGATTTTTTAGCAGGGCATCTCCTCTTTGCCTATCAGCTAGCCACAGACAAAAGACTGCGCAACACAGCCCTCCTGTCCTGTACCGAGGACTACCTGGATTCATATTTTCCTAGTAAAGATCGACTGTAAGTGTTGGTATTTTCTTGCGTACCATACTGGTACAATTCTCATGACCTTTACTATTTCTTCATTATTCAAGTTTATTACATGGTTTTTTTTACAGAAACATTTGAAGTTTCTAGCTGAGTCCTAGGTCCTTTTCCAATGATGGTCTGGCTGCCATTCCCCTTTTCTAACTGTGGTTTGGCTGCGCTTCCCTTTGCCTACTGGATTTCATACACCTCTCAAAAAAAAAACTGCTGATAAAGCTATGGTGATTGAGCTGAAACTGGTAATTTGGTTGTTGTAAAACAAATATGTTAACACAATATTTTGCAAAAACAGAAAGCGAGGACCGTTGAGGAGAACAAAATAAAAACACTAGAATTGTTACACTAAACACTTTAGCTATTATTTTTAATGTAGTCCTAGCGTGGCTGTCTTTACAGTCACAAAGTCATGTCAGGGGTGAGAGTCATGAACAGAACTCGCTCTGTCACTTCTTTTTTCCTTTTATTGATGATGTTTGTAAAGCTGGGAAGATCTATAATTGTTATATACTACTCCTGCACGTTGTCGTTTATCTTACGGGCCCTTTGGGGACGAATTCGTAATTTCGCCCCCGGACCCGCCA